TCCAACATCTCCATGCTCCGACCCCCCTCCGGTTCTCACAACCGTCGGCTGTATGCTGTGCTGGCGTGTAACCGGGGGCTCGCTTCACTCTCTGGGTCATCCTCCGGGGCCTCGGGGTCCTGGATTGGTCTCAAGATGTTACAGTGCGGTTAGGGAGAAGGGGGAAACTGCTACCAAACAAGCAGACACAAGGATTTCCAAACCCCCCGACAAAACCCAACATCACTAAATCAAAAAATGACAGAACAAGACTGAGACATAATCAGAGGAACTTGTATTTAGTGGTTAGAAAATTAACCATAAAGTTGGCTTGTGCTTTTATGGAAACATCTGCTTTTCTACTTTCTACTTGTGGGATAAGAACATAACACGACAGAAATATTTTAATACCATAATATGGGACAGAACAACAGCAAGATCAAGAGTAAAACAACAGAGTAATAATCTAATGTGGGACAGTTTAGTAAAAATAAAACAATGGACAGTATGGTAGTATTATAAAACAGGAAAGTGAAAGTATAGAGAAAGATAGCATGGTAATACTATAGTATATAACAAAACATTGGAGAGCATATAAGTAGTGTTGTGTAGAACATGATAGACGTAATATAAAGAAGTAAAGTGCATTAATACTTTAATAATACACAGCATAATAGAATTTTAAGGACAGTATAGTTAAAGTTTTTCTTTTCTCTATAAAATAGTAGAGGATAAAGCACAACATAGTAGTTAGTACTGTGCAGTGATGTAGTATTATATATTATAATATATCTTATAATAGTCCTGTGTAGGACAGCAGGAATGCTGTACCTTGAGATTTTCCTTTAATGCTGTTTTTGGTTCATTTTTATTATCTGACTCTCTTTATTATTAAAACATCTTGTACGTTGTGCACGTCTGTGTGAGTCTGTGGGGGGTCACATGTCCATCCTAACGCCATTGTTCAGGTTATTTTTGTTCATTTGGCAGCTTGGTGCTTTTTCTGTAAGCTAAAAATGAATGAGCGGAGTTTGAACCCTTGTCTTTTCATGCGGTTCTGGCAGATTGCGGTTCTGGCAATTGCCGGTTTCACAAACTGAAGAGCTGACGGATCGACCGGTTGGCCGACCGTGACATCTGCTGCGCTATAATAAAATAATGCAACTATAAACAGTATATAGATAGTGCAGCGTGGAAAAGGATGACAACAATGTATAGTGAAGGATAATATAGTAATATTATAATATAGGACAGTATGGTAACAGTATAATTATGGTATTTTTGTGACCAAATAGTATAAAATACAAGTGGACAAATTAAAGCACAGCATAGCCATAACATAGTATATTAAACAGATTGTCTTTTGCAGTCCTGCTTTTGCAAAGAATAATATCATTACAGTGTAGAATAGTATGGTAATAGTACAGCAAAGTATAGCAGCCATAGTAACTTTGCCTCTTGATCAGTAACTGCTGGAGACAGTCAACAGTGAATAGATTTCCTCAAAGTTCAAGATTTTCTTTACAACTATGATCTCTAAAGCAAAGACAAATGAGATCTGACTTTTATAAAACCTCATCTGTGGTTGAAAGGCCAATAAAAAACAAAGACTGCCACACATTAACCCTCCCCAAAGCCTTATTTCAGTGGCTTACACTCAAAGTTTATGGGACAAAATGTGGCTGGTGGAGATGTGCTGCCCTCAAGTGGTGAAAGTTGAGTTTCATCTCTTTAAGGTCAGCAGAAAATCACTTCTTCAACATCCAGAAGAGTCAGGAGAGAAAAACAATCCAGTATAGTGAAGCTAAAGTGTATTTTTCAACTTGATGAAAGGATTTGCTTTTTTTGTTGTTGTTGTTTTTGTTGTATCTGTTTTGGGAGCTTAACTTTACAGTAAAGGTTATACTCAATAAACTTAACATTAAACTAAATAAATGCAAAATACAAGAAATTCTAAAGAATCTTATTGTAAAAACAAAGTGGAAACAAATATCATCATTTCTGGCATTTCTCAGCATGAACTACAAATAACACAACTGATCACCAGAGAAATAAATGTAGCTTAAAGCAAAAAAAAAAAAAAAAAAAATTAATTAAGTAAGACTCACTTACTTAATTAAAAAAAAATTCTGTTGACGTATTCCGGTTTCGTAAAATCAAAACTCAAAATGTTGACAATCACACTAGTCCTTCGACATTTCTACGACAGCTGACCACGTGGTTCAAGTTTTTTACCATGTAGTTACATCAGTTGGCCAGTAAGTGGCAGTAAATGGCTCTACACTTGAAAGTCCACTGAAGAAGCTGAAGAGAAAGTAAAGCCATATACAAGCACACAAATACCAAAAAGACCAGCGTTATTCTGATCAATACACATGAAAGGACGATTACACTGGAAATGAAGTATGATTTATTTGAGAAAACATGTTATCTGTAGTAACAACACTGCAAATAAACAGAGTTTGAGGGAAAACCTTTGCATATGATGCGAACATAATAACATTTCAATAACCAACAAACTTTAAAGACCATTTAACAGTTTTGCTCTACATGTTAAAAATATTCACATCTCTTTACTTTGTATTTATGTTCCAAGTCAGATTTTCTTGCATTCTCTAAATCATCTTAAGGAATATTTATTTTAGCTCTTTAAATATTGGTATCATTTTAACATTGGCTTCACTTCCTCTTTGCAAAATTTTATCCACTTTGTGCTCAAAGAATGAGGAAACAGGAGCAAACTAAGAAAATTAGGCAGCATTATGCCTGTTGTCTTATCTTTATAGATTCAGCTAAAGAAATAATCTTGTTTGTGTCACACTGCAAAAAGATTCAGTGTATAACAAGTTCTGTTGTTTTCCTTGAGTTATGAAGATGAGGGTCAGAAGCTACATTTCTGCTATTTCCATGAAAAGTAGTAAAAAAACATTTAAAACTGAAGTAGAAAACTCCTTTCTCTTGAAAACGGTTCCTGAAGATCACCTTAAATAAGCAAGAAAATTGAATCAATCCTGGTTTCTTGGAAGAAGTAAAATGACATCATTAAACATAAGTAACCATGCGGTAATTTTTAGATTGATACTGATACATTGGGTAAGACAAACCTGTATGCACATCACACTGCTGGTGAACATATTTTCAAATATACCTACCATTAAAATGCACCTTATTGTTTAGATTGTTTTGACAAAATCAATATTTTCAGTTGGGCTGGAACAATTAATCAAATTAATCGTGATTAATCAATTAACGAAATAATCGTCAGCTAATTTAGTAATCAGTTATTACTATACAGATTCTAAAAATGTCAATTTGCATGGACTTAGCTATCTATCCGTGCTACGGTAGGAAAATTTGACCAGGTAGCAATGATAGTCAAAACACCAGATTTAATCTGTTTGCTCTTGAAATGTGGAACAAATCTGATTTGTGCGTCACCTGGCAACTGTTCCAGCCAATGGAATGACAGCGTTCCACTGGGTGCGCTGGATAGCATCTCCTGGATGTGCTGCTTGAGCGGCTACCATACGAATCTGGGCCAGGACCAAGTGGTGCACAGGCAGATGAATCCTACGCGACCAAGATCTGTGGATCACCGAGGAAGCGAGTTGAAACAATGTCACTCTGGCAAGAGCTTGTTTATTCTGAGCCGCATTTTCAATTCAAGAAAAATAAATTAAAAAAAACAATAATACAATTCAAATTCAGTCAAAAACATCTGGAGTTTCCACAAACAAAATGCACAAATAAAATAACATAATTGCAAGAAGTTAATAAATTAACATCTACAACACACAGTAGATACCAACGTTTGTCCTGCTTAGCTCACAGATTTGTGGCAGTAAATTATTCCAGACTTCATTCAGGTGTTCATGCAGGTTGTAATCAGATATACTTGGTATGCAGAAGTGGACAGAGCAGCCAAAAATTGTACTCAAGTAATAGCAGTTCTACTTCAACTTTTTCCTCAAGTAAAAGTAAAGAAATCCTCTGGTGAGCAACAAGTACTTGGTAAAAACTTTACTCAAGTACTGGGTAACATGGTGAAATGATCAATCATTTAATATTTAAAAATGAAAATATTTAAAAATTCTAAAGTGAAGTGGAAATGTGGGTGACAAAATGACAATAATTTATAGAAATCACACAAAAAAATAATAAAATCAGACAAAAACAAATTCAAATCAGTTTTTTTCAATAAACGTTTGAAACTTTAACAAAAACTGCAGATGTGTGAATTTTTGGTTAAAGCATGTTTTTTCATTCAGAGAGTAGAAAATCCAGAAACTTTACTCAAGTAAGAGTGAAGATACTTCCTAATCAAATTAGTCAAGTCACAGTAAAAGGTACAGACTAGTAAAATACTCCTTAAGGATTTTTTTTTGTCAAGAAACTTCCTCCAATTGCATAAATATAACTAATAAATACCCAAACCTGATATAAAACAATTGTTAAAGTTTTACTCTATCATATGACCTTGGTGTGTGTAAAATTAATGTCAAACATGTAGTCAAAGATAAAGAAACAAGCAGTTCTGGTGCAAAACTAAAGCGATAAGACTCCCTGCGTTCCTTCTGCGTGGACTTCTGCTCATTTTACTCTCCACCCTTTCGTGGAAAAGAGCGTTCCTGTTTCAATCAGACTTGTTGCGACGAGTGGTGCTAAGTTTTATTTGCGTGATCCTTCTGTGCGGTTGTGTTTGCCTCTGCATGCTCTGCATCAATGAGGCCCTGAGGTTTTGCAATCACTCCTCATTTCATTTCACAACACAGTAGCCGAGTGAAAGTATCCTTTCAGGACAACACGAATGTACACTTTGTCTCCCAACATGTGGGCAAGTTTCCATAAACATGCACGTTTGTTTATACTAAAAAAATACTTGTTTTTATCAGAATACTTGAGTTAATGATCTCATATGTGGACATGAAAGTGAAAAGAAGAAGGGGAGTGTGAGTGTTAGTGAAGGACACACCTCTCTGTCTGTAAAACCACAGCATGTTGCAGCCTGTGGGGAAGGACACGATCTCCTCTTTAATGAACTAAGAGACTCAAAGCGGGACAGCAGCCGGATATTTCCATCCAACAACGACACACGACAGAACTCCCCAATCAGAGGTTAGTAAATCTGACGTTTCCTTTATTTTACCCGTTTCTACCACCATGTTTCTCCTCTGGATTTGTCCACGCTACAAATCTGTGGGAAAGTATGTTAATACTTTTCGACTGCTCTGATCCACTGTAAATATTTACAAGCAAACATGGGTTCTCAGGCATGCTGTACAGGAAAAGGAAAAACAGAATTATCCACTTTAATTTTAAAGTATCTACAAACAAGATCATAAACCAGCCAGCTGCGGTCAAGTATCAATAAAACTGATAAACTGATAAAAGTTGACTAAAAAGTGTCTCTGCATTAAATAACATTGAATTTCTTTCTTTTTTTTTTTTTTTTTTTACATTTTAATCTATATTCTCTAGAAGAATATAGAAGAATATAATCTAGAAGAATATAATCTATATTCTATAATCTATATTCTCTATAAGAATATAGATTAAAAGTGATTTTAAGATGATTTTAAAACACCAGTGGAAACATAAAAAACCTCATTAACTGAAAGCAGGGTTTTATAGTTGTAAAAAATAGAAATATGTTTCCAATTAACTATCAAAAAGGATACAAATAATCATTAGCAAACATTTATTCTAAGTTGATACTTGGAAATGATTTTTTTTCCATAATTTGAAGGATGCTTGTCTCTTCTTATGTCAAAAACACATTTCTTGGTTGATCGAAAACTAATTTTGAGTCTGAATCTGCCATTGATCATGACATTTTATTAGCCTGTCTTAAAAAGCGTAATCTACACACAGATTAATTCAAAGAATGATAATTAAATTACTCAAATGACCTGCCTGTTTCATGTTCATGTAATCCTGAGGGCCAGATTATTTCAATCTGTAATTTAAACAATTATTAAACTACATATGTTATTATTTGCGAGATATATGTGGAGATAAAATCCTTATACATTGTTTGGGAACCTGGGAATTTTATTGAAGCCATAAGATGAAAATATATACATGGTCTTCTTTGGATACTGGGCACAGGAAATGAATACTTAATAAGGAAATAAAACTTCCTGTTTCTATCCCTCACTTTTATTGGTATGTTGTGGTCAGTTCAAGGGTCAACTAATTTCTGACCTACAGAATTAACACGCAATATGATAATAACATAACGTTTTTTGGAGATTATTCAAAGATTAATAAAAAATATTGTGTTGTAACACTCCTCTTCTCTGACGCACTGCTGCCAGTTTTCCTGCATGCTTTAGCCTGCTGCAGATTTTTCAGAGATTACATCAGGTTGGCAGACATCCTGTGGTTCTGTAATCCTCATCGTTTATGATTTAGAGTGGTCGAAAAGCATCTTGCTTCGTTTATTCTTCTGCTTCCTCTTTTAAGTCTGTTCAGACATTTAATATAAGTTTACAAAGCAAACCTTAAAAAAATCATCATAATGATAAGGCAAATCCGTTGTTTGTTAATGAAATTTATAACTGATGTAATGATTACGAAAAGCTTGTGTCTTCCTCAAACAGAAGTCGTTATAATCTGGGTGATTTGTTGGTTTAAATATGTTAATAATTAAATAAATGTCACTTAGAAAGTTGTGGAGAAAATTAAACCATTAGCAAGCTTCTGTCTGGGTGGATATGTGACCACGTTTCTCTTTTCAGAAGTCATTTGTTTTCAAATATATTGTTTCCTGGCATGGATGTGGCTTTCAGTCAATAATTGTTCAAAAGGGTATGGAGGTTTATGGCTTTGGGGAGGCCGTGACAGAGGTTTCATATTTGCCGGTTTATTCTACTCTAAAACCGTTATCATCATTGTCCTGTTGACCAACCTAACCTCATGTCTGACTATTAAAGATACTTTCGTTTTAGTATGTGCTTGAAACATGCTTATATTTATACGAACCAATCTTTTTCATTAGAAGTTTATAGCCGAGCCAATCAAAATTATTCTCAATTGCTTTACAGCTCAGCCAATCAAACTTGGCCCTTTCAGTCAGATTTTACCAAATTTGTATTGAAACACTGTTAGGTGTGGTTATGCTCTTAAATTTTGCCATTTTGCAAATTTCACTTTTTTATACTTCAGTTGTTGTCTCAACTGCTTCTAAAAACAGTCCAATTTCCAAAAAAAAAAAAAATATATATATATATAAAAATAAAATTCCCTTCTCACCCACCGCGGGTGGTTCTTATCCTCTGAGCTCGGGTCCTCTACCAGAGGCCTGGGAGCTTGAGGGTCCTGCAGTATCTTGGCTGTGCCAAGGACTGCACATTTCTGGACTGAGATGTCTGATGTTGTTCCTGGGATCTGTTGTAGCCACTGCTCCAGTTTGGGGGTTACTGCCCCGAGGGCCCCGATGACCACAGGCACCACTGTGGTCTTCACCTTCCAGGCCCTCTCCAGTTCCTACCTGAGGCCCTGGTATTTCCTCCTGACCGTTGAGTCACAATCGATGAGCACTGCACCGTTTCTTAGCAACCACTGTGAGTGCTGTACAATGGCTGCTGGAAAAGACAAGTGTTTTGTTGTTGACTTTTTAGTCAACAATTTTGAGACAACTAAATAACAATATAAATTAAATAAGGATAGAATGACTATCTGATTCTTCTGCTTTCAGGTCCAGAAGGATTTCTGATTGTTTTTACAAACTGGTGATGAAATGTACAATTTCTAACTATTTCTCTTGTTTTTACGATCAAATCATTTTAGAATGACAGCTTCCACAAATGAGGAAGACAGTGTCGTGAGCAACGACTACGCCACCGCCATCGGCACCCTCATCCTCACCCTGGTTTTCCTCCTTGGCGTCCCTGGTAACCTCTTCATCGTCTGGAGCATCCTGGCACGCACCCGTAAACGCTCCGTCACCACCATCCTCATCCTCAACCTGGCCTGTGCGGACGGCTTCATCATGGCCCTCACCATCTTCTTCATAATATACCTGGCCAAGCAGACGTGGATCTTTGGACTCGTTATGTGCAAAGGCGTCTTCTACTTGTGCAACGCCAACATGTACGCCTCCATCTTCCTGATCACACTGATGAGCGCACACAGGATGGTGGCGGTGCTGTTTCCGCAGAAACTACACCTGATAAGCAGACAGGTTGTGACGAGGGTGATCATGGGCATGTGGGTGTTGGTCATGACGATTTCCATCCCCTCGCTGGTGTTTCGAGAACTGGAAATTGAGCCAGATCTTAGCCAGAATGATTCACGGATTGTGTGTTCCCCCAATCACACCTGGCCCACTCATGTAAGTCCACTCTTCTCAAAGTGAAAACCCTGTTTGACTTGTACTTTCTACTGCTACAAAATTAGTGAAGCATTTGATTATTTCATCAGGCTGGATGGGGAGACAGAAGACACAAATTACAAAAAAAAAAAAAGTGCTGATGTTAACTGGATCTGATGTTTACCTTTATTCAAAATTGGGTAGTTATATTTACTCAGTTTTACTTACCTGAATAATTTTAGAAAAAAAGTACTTTTGGAGTATTTTGCTGTGCTGTTTTTACTTTTACTTCAGTAATTTTATTTTGAAGTATCAGAACTTCTTCTCAAGTAAAATTTCTGGATTTTCTACCCACTGAATGAATAAACATGTTTTAACTAAAATTTCACCAGAGTCAAACACACACCTGCAGTTTTTGTTAAAGTTTCGTACATTTCTTACTGAAAAAAAAAATTATTTATTTTGGGTAACCCTAACCCTATTTTTGTCCTTAAAACACCAAAATTTCCTCCTAACTTCAAATTTTGTTTTGTAATTTTCAAATATTACATGACTGATAATTTGTTCAGTCAAATTATCAACCATAGTAGACTTTTTAACCAAATACTTATTTTTGGAAATAAAATGTTTAATGATTTCTCCCAGAACCGCACAGGATTCTGGGAGAAAAGAGGAAAGACTTTGGCTGCTCAACCTCTCTGGGCCAAACGTGGCGGAATGAACTCACTCTTTGGTTACCTAGCAACTCACTCACTCTGGTTACCTAGCAACTCACTCACTCTTTGGTTACCTAGCAACTCACTCACTCTTTGGTTACCTAGCAACCTGTTCTGTATCTTGATCAGTCACCATTCTATCATTTTGGCATTATTTCAGATATTCAAAACAAACAAAAAAGAAATAGATAAATAATTACCAAAATCGACTAATATATAACTTTTATACTGTGCTTTTTCAGCCATATTGTTTAGCCCAGCTGAAATGTATAAATAACAGATAAAAGTTGACTCGTTAGCAGAAAATAGTAAAATTAGCATAAACTAAAAGTAGCTGAAAAAAGAATGGTTCTTGGGAATTTGAATGCCACATTTTTTTTGAATAAGAAAAATGGTTCAAATAAAACGATTGAGGTTTGTTCAACTTAAGGAACATAAAGTATTTTTATAAAAATTACAGAACCATAAACTAGAAAGGCTCAACAGTTTCAATTTTTCTTCCAAGTCAGATATGTTTTTCAGTGTTTTTCTTTTTTCCTTTCCTTTCCTCTCCTCTGGTCAGGTCCGGTTCCAGTATTCTTTAGAGACGGTTTCAGGATTCATCCTCCCGTATGCAGCCATCATAACCTGCTACGTCCTCACCCTGAGACGCCTGAGGCAGACCCAGTTCCAGCGAAGGATTCGTAGCGAAAAACTCATCCTCGCTATTGTCATAACATTTGGCATGTTTTGGTTTCCATACCATGTAATCAACATGGTACAGGTGAGTAAAATCTTTTTAACCTCTAATCAAACATTTCCGTTCTCTGTTCTTGGGTTCTTGTTTTCATTAAAGTTTTTTGTGACTCCCAGGTTGCAGCTGAGTGGTATAGCAAGGAGACAAGAACTAGAAAAATGTGAGTAAGATGAAATTGCCTTACATTCTTTTACTACTCTATAAAGATGTCTTACTGAATATTAAGGGAAAAATTGTTCATTTTGTTCACATTTCTGGATGGTAACCAATAACTATATTCTGCTAAGGCATCATGTTTTTAAATCTTTAATGTTTTATCACTTTTTCTGGTTGCTTTTTTGGGGGGGTTATCAGTGGTATTTCCTTTTTAAGGTGTAACCAGGCAATTTAAGGCTGGAGTAATTTGGTTAAAGATTGGTCTAACGTGATTCAATGTTATCCGGTCCATTATAAACATACACGATTGCATAATTATAGATAATTTTCATCTACACTTTGAAGTGCTCCTTTCCCAATTCTCTTACAAAATGACTTTTGTCGTAAATGTTTCAGCCCTGCAGCGCAGGAGACAGATTACAAATCTGTGCTCAATGTTACAACTTTTGTTGCAATGAGTTTGGAAAGGGAGGGAAAGGTTTCCCTGAAAATTTGTTTTTCCATTTGCACAGAAATGTAGGTAAGCAACTCACATGCTAATATAGAACCCTGAGGTACTCCTTTGGATCTATCAAGAAAAGAGGAAAAGGATCCAACATGTAAACTAACTCATCTGTAGATAGACCAATATAAGCAATAACGGTAGTTTACCAAAAATATTGTGGTCAAAAGTAAAATACCCAAATTTAACAGCAGCAGAAATTTTGCATGCCTCATTGTTCTGTCTCTTATTTTGAGTGAAGTATTTTTGTAAGCGTCTACATCAACGCAAGAGTGAGAAGTTTTGTTTCTACAGGATCCTAAAAGTTGCTCTTTGCAGAACTTAATAGATTTTTCTCCATCTTTTTTTACCCACAGATTGGAGTTGATTCATGAGAACTGCCGAGCTGTGACCTCGGCTTTGGCTTTTCTCAGCAGCTGTGCCAATCCTATCCTTTACACCTTTGCTGGAAAGTCCTACATCAAGAAAAATGGCTTAGCCTTCATGGCTAAGCTCTTCGATGGCACGGCGTCATCGGACCAAACTGCAAATAAACAGAATCGCATAGAAAGTGGAGGAGAAATGAACAATATCTTATTAAATACCAACACTACATAATGTACCAATGGGCTAGATTGGCCCATTGGCCAATCTGAAAATTATAACATAATGGGCTAGATTGGCCCATTATGTACCACAGCTTGTGGTACATAATGTACCGCAAGCTCATAATGTATCATGTATAATGGTACGTTATGTCCCATTGGTACATTATGTCCATTAAATGGACCATGAATTGTAAAATGTGCAAAGCTACTTGTGGGAAAAACCAAGTTTCACAACAGAACTTTTACTTTTTCAAACCATCATAAATGACTACAGGATAAACTCTAATTTCAATGATAAAGTCAATACATCCTATAAAAAAGTTTTACAATGCTTGTGGGGATTACCAAAATAGTGTGAGGAAAAATGACAAAATAATGCTATTTAGTGATAATTCATGTATTAGTAGTTTAAAATGAAAGGTTAAAACTTCAGGATGTTTTCAGTCCTCATTGTTTTTGCACATTTCACATTTTCAGGGAATTAGCTGCAGAGCTAAGCAGCACATAAACCAAAAACCGCTTCACTCTTTAACAATATTTGTTCATTTATGTAAAGCCACAAATTGTCAGCTGGAAGCACTTTATATAAAAAACAGGGGCAGTTCTAATTAATCTACTGTAGTCACATTAATTACGACTATAGTCAGAATATTCTGTCAAAAGAGTCTGGTTTAACCAAATTAATGTACATCCCTAAAACAATCTAAGAAAAGTTAGTGGAAATTTGGGTAACACTTTATTTGACGGGTTGTGAATAAGACTGTCATGACATCATGTTAAAAATAAACATGAGTAAGTCTTTATGAATATTTATGACTGTTGTCATAACTTTAGCTTTAATAACATAACGCTACATAATTTTAAAAGTCATAACAAAGACATTTTGAATAATGTCAACTTTGTATTAAAAGCGTCATGATTTACTGAATGACACTTTGACACCAGTGAAATATTCACAGACTTGCTTGTGTTCATGACAGGTGTTATTACATGTATATGACTGTGTTATTACATGTTTATGATGGTGTTATTCCCAACACAGCAAAGTGTTACCAAAAATTGTATCTAGATTTAAAAAAACAAGGTTTGCATTGCATTAGCTGCAACAATTCTTAAACATGAAAACACTGAGAACACTAAGCTGTTCGTAACAATATTATTCAACAGAAGTTGGAATAAATTAATATTATTCGCCTTCAAGGCTCAAGGACAAAAACTGAATGTTATAGTTTCTCAAGAGAAGAGCTTGACAAGATATGGCTATTATTCTACTTTAAAAAAAAGTTTACACTGACAGACTAAAACAATAAAAAAAAAAATAACAGTTTGACCATTATGTAAAAAAATAAAACTTACAAGAAAAATGCCTCTTCCTACTTCACATATTTAAGGGTGTAAGAAACAACTAAACCAACAAAAGATGAGCTGCCATGGAGTATTTGGGTCTAAGTTGGAATCTTACCTTAGAAGATGAGGAAAAAAAATTTTTACCCTGTGAGGCAACAGAGCTAAGAATTAGTCTGTACTTCTAATCTGTCCCAGCTCTTGCTTTTTGTTGTAAACATAAAAAAACTACTGCAAGGTTTCCCTTTTCTGCTTGCTAAACATCCATTGTATTAAGTTTGTGTGCTACTCTTTGTGAGAATTGTTTTATGCTAAAGTATAATCCATCAACCAGTTTGGAAAAAACATGGCAGGTGAATTGCTTTGTTCTTGAATTTGCATATCAAACTGCACTGTACAATTTTTATGTGTTTCTCTCCTACTATAAAGTTTAGTTTTTTGTTTCCTGGTTTGTAAAGTATATGAATGAAACAGGGTTTTAAGTCAGGAAAAACCATTTCTGTACAAAACTTCCTGCAAATGGAGTGAAAAGATACCGAGGACTTTTACAAGAGAACATGATCAAGTGAGACTTACTCTTTAACATCTGAAACTGTAATCCAGTAGATGATCACTTTTCTGGGAGGAATATGACATTCCTCCACCAAGAGTATTATGGTCATGCTACGAAAATAAAATAAAGTCATAATAGTTTGAGAATGAAGTTGAAATAAGAAAAAAAAATACATTTTTATTCTAACTATTTTGATAATGATCTTATTCTTGTACATGTTTATTTTTGTAATATAACTATTTCTGTAATTTTATTTTTGTATGTCTCCAATTTTCCATTGTTTCTAACAAAGCAAAACCTTTGACCAAACTATAGGAACCGAGTTGCTATAAACGTTTTCAGGTTCTTTACTGCGTGACTCAATAGTGATTCCAGCTACCCTTAAGAAAATAAAAAACTGAAAACCTTGGAAAACAAAACAGTTACACAAAAGATCTTTGGGGCTTTACTTTTTGTTTTGCAGAAAAGTTTATTGTCATTTAGGCCTTAAATTAAAACTTTTTTTTTTTTACATGTAGCTCTTTCAGGATATAAAACAAATCAGTAGAAAAAATTGAAGCGTTAGGTCAAGAAATAGACTCCTGACATCCCACCTGTGGAGGAAAAGGAAAACGGTTAAAGATCAGTTCACTCAACTTAATGTTACAAGTGTAAAAATATAACTTCTGCATCCATTTGTTACTAGTCCACAAACCAAAATCAAAGTACAAGTGTGCAGGTCTGTAAACTACAAATGGATGCTAGCTAGCATTTGATGCTGCATTTAAAACCAGACAGTTCTTACCTCAAGTGGTTCTCCTAATGCATCCTTCCTGAAAAGGAGAGAAAGGGAAATTAAAGTTAAGTCTCAATTGCGGTGGCCTAAACCTGGAGAGCATCAGTAAAGTCAAACCCATCAGTGCAGTGAAAGTAAAATCATCAGTTTCAGGTGAAACACGGACTCACATGCAACTCATCATGCAAGGTTTGACTCCAAAAGTTGAGTACGACACACCAACGACATAAAAAGGCAATTTTCAGGATTTTAACCAAATAGCTCACAGTACAGCTACTAAAAGGGAAAACTAGAGGTGCAGCTCAATAAGCTTAAAAATATATATTCTCTAGTTATATAAAATAGTGTTTTTCTGAAAATGTAAAAAATCTTCTATGTTGAGAGCTCAATTTCCAACACATGCAGAATTTACTTTCATTTATGACAATCGTTCCTGTGGCTCATGCACCTTTTTTTAGTACACCACACTTTTTCCTTCCACTAAACTTTCATCAATATGGTAGGTTTACAGCACTCTCAACAGCCATTTCGGCAACTTCTCATTGAACCCATCACCTGACTCAGGTGAACAAGTCAGTTTAGAAATGTTATAAGGAACTTTATATAATGAAACTTTTTAGTTTTAGTAGGTCTGATTTTTTTTTTTTTTTTTGAATGAGAACAACTTAAATTAGAATTTCAGCTAAAGTCAAATAAACCCTGTGCAGCACAAATTGTCAAACACCATTATGAATCTGCAGAAATCATCAAATGACTCTGAGCTTTTATTTAAACGCTTTTCTTGTCGAGTTCCTCCTGTGAAACCAAACCATGAGGTCGGTTTGGCGCTAACGCTGCAACAAAGCGCAAAAGAAGCTCCTGAATCGCAGCGATCATCCACCTGCTCCGGCATCAATGGCCTCACCAAACAAGAAAACAAACCGGACACGAAACATGCAACACTTACCGCATTTTAGGCTTTCAAACTACGAATTTTTCAGTTTCCTTGCAGCAGCGAGTCCTTCCTCTTGCTCCGTGACAAGGAAGAGAGAATGTTAATGAGGCTGCGCCTCAATTTATCTCTTTATCAAACCACGTGCTTGGCGTCACATACGGCACTTCCGGTTTACGGCAACGTTAAATGTAAAGTCCCCACTTCATTTCTTTAATTATGTTTGCATGTTGCTGTTGAAATCAAGGCTTTCCACGTCCCAAATCTGCAATTTGACCAATCACATTGTAGTTAGTTAACTTCATATGGGTTTGTGTGTTCTTGTTTTATATTTACAGGCTGAAAATAGAAAAATAAATACTGGGGAAACATGTATATTTTCTTTAGATTTTATTTATCTACATACCCAGCCAAATGCTACAAAATGTCTCAACTTTTTTATTAAGTGATCAATATATTTTCAGCTTGGAAACAACTATTAAACTATTAACTATGAAATAGAAACAGTCACAAAATATGGCTAATATTAAGTTTGTTGACTGCACATCATATTTAAATGTTAATTGGTTACAAAAACAATATCCGTAAAAACAAACCTGCTTTACTGTCTCAACTTTCCATTATCAATTGACTCTTTCTGATTGGATAGGTCAGTTCAATAATTTGAATTATGAACATTTTACTTCTTTTTTTGCTATTACAACCATACTTTTTCTTGTATTTTAGTTTTGTTGTTTATCTGTATAAGATTGAATATCTATAAATGATTAAACTGATACACAGGCAATATTACTTATAAGAGAATAACCAAGAATATGGCTATTTTTGACATAAATCTGAAATAGAAGAAAAGGAAGTAAAATTCATAAAACTTACCTAAGTCTTTTTAAATCAAAATGATCCCAAATTAGCAATTATATCTAAAAGTATTCTCATAAATATAAACACGTTTTTCCATTTAATAATGTATATATCATGCACAAATTGAACGTGATAGAAGACTTCTCAAAATACTATATAATTTGACGTGGAAGGAAAGTGTTGCATAGTTATTAAAACACAAAAAATCTGATAAATGAATATATTTATTGAGTTTTTACATTCAGTAACCATCCATCCATTATCTAACAAAACCAGTAGGTAGCAGATTTTTCTAACGAATAAAAAAAGGGGGGAAAAAACTACAAATGTAGTTCACCATGTTGTAGTACGGAACGCCCACTGGTCCAAAAGAGGTAGAAAAAAAGCGTAGTGAGAACTTGGAGTGACACACAGAGGAGAAAACTGTTACCAGCCGCGACGTTGACGAATTTAAAGTTAGCGTTGGGTGGAAACCTTTGGACATGAGAGTCTTAATCGGTAAGAAAAGCTATTGCAGTTATCTGTTTATTTTAAAATAAATCAGAAAGATGAAAACGGTTCAAGCTAGCTTGCTAAGCTAAGGTTAGAGCTGCTGACAAAACCTGGACTGAAGTAATATTTAATGCGACAGTTGATTCAGGTGCTTCTAAAGTCCTGCCGTCAGTTGAAACATAAAATGAGATCGCTGTATTTTGAATTTCGTTGTTATTTAAGCAAAATTATCGCATGTGTTTTGTTTTGTAAGCATGTAAAGTGCGCATGCGCACTATTCACAGCTTCTCCATCCTTTTGGGGGTTGAAGATGTCAGCACAGCTATATACTTTAAAGTATGAAATAATTGATTAATCAGTATATTATGCAATATATTACTATTTTAGTGAGAAGTTTAGATGATATTTTCTTAAAGTTGATATATTTTAAAATTATCTCTCCTGATTTACTATTTTCTTTCATGCTTACAGTCCGTATGTTTGATTTGTGTCTGTCTCTCAGGAGGGGGCACTGGCTTTGTGGGTCGAGAGTTGACACGCCTGCTCAGAGACAAAGGTCACGAGGTCACGTTGATATCCCGTCAGCCTGGTCCAGGAAGGATAACATGGGTATGACCAGCTCCTCAATCATTACCTTCTCTTGATTGATAATAATGAACTTTTCTACAATGTGACTGATTTAAATATGCCTGTAATTTCTTGAATTGTATCTTTTTGCTCCTGCAGAAAGAACTGGAGTCTCACGGACTACCGCCTTGTGATGGTGCCGTCAACTTGGCAGGAGAGAATGTTCTTAACCCCCTTCGATGGTGAGAACCCCCCCAAAAAAACGTTTTTATTGTAATCTGACTTGGTTTTGAAGCCTATTTCCATCACAATAATAGAAAAACAATTAGAACTCATTTCTCTGTATGTATTTAGAATAAAATAGCCACCAAATTTTAGCTATATGATAGACCGAGGTGTGTAGAGTACCCCCAAAAAATCTCAAATGAGAGTAGCACAATTTCAACATATTTTCACTCAAGTAAAAGTTTAAAGTAGCCGTCCAAGAAATGATTCATGTATGAGTAAAAACGTATTTGGTATAAAGTCTACTCAAGTACTGAGTATCAAATAAATAACAAAATCAGGCAAAAATATTTTCCAAATCAGTTTCTTTCAATAAAACTTCTAAACTTTAACAAAAGCTGCAGGTGTGTGTCTGTGTCCGGCAAATTTTTGGTTAAAACATGTTGGTTTTTCATTCAGCGGGTATAAAATCCAGACATTTTACTCAAGTAGAGTAGAAATACTTCATAATAACAATACTCAAGTAAAAGCAAAAGTACAAAATACTCCTCTAAAAAGTTGTAAAAGTAAATGTACCTAATTACTATGGAACTGTGATGAGAAATATTTTTATCACAGTGGCAGAGATGGGCTTCTATAGACCCTATCTATATTTCCACCATATTAATAAAGAATACTTCTATTTATTTGAAAATAGTTAGAATAATTGTAAATTTTGGAAAACATGGCTGGGAAAGTTGAATTTAGAAATAAACAGTGTGTAAGTGCTGTTTACTTAGCAACAAAGACAGGACTGCTCTACCTCAGGATTTGTGCTTCATAGTAACCTACTCAAAACCTTAAGCTAAAACTGTTTTATTTGCATCATGTGAAAAACCATATGCTTTTGAGCTTATACTATCTGCTCATAAGAGGCTTTACTGAACCTTGTGTATAAGGGGTTAAAAATAGTTGGAATAGTTTTTAAACAGTGTTTATAATAACATGTATTAATAACAATAGTGTAAATTTTCTACCTTGCCTTTTCTGGTATTTCAAAATGTATTCTGCTTTTGAATTAGTAACATTCTTCAGTCGTGTTGTACTTTAAATCAGATCTATAACCTGATTTTTTTTTGTCCTTCCAGGTGGAACGAAAGCTATAAAAAAGATTTATTCTCCAGTCGTATTGACACGACTAAAGCTTTGTCCCAAGCCATCGCTGCGTCTTCCAGCCCTCCTCACTCCTGGGTTCTGGTTTCAGGTGTCGGTACGAGTCTACGCTCAGCAGCTGCAAAAGGCACTAAATGTGATTCAGATTCACCATTGATTTTGTCTGGTTTTCCTCGTTGACTCACAGCTTGCTACAAACCTAGTCTCACAGCTGAATACACAGAAGACAGTGAGTGGACGCCCTTTGACCTCCTCTCACAACTCGTCAAAGAGTGGGAGGCTGCAGCGTTTCTTCCTGAGGATGCAGTGAAAACCACCAAACAAGTCGTCATTCGGGCCGGTACGTTCAGAGGGGCAGTAAAGAAGCTGAGGGACGTTTGTTCATGCATCTCTCATTTAGAGAAATATGCTAAAGTTTTAAATCACCTCTGATTTCTTTAGTTACTTCCAAAGAGCCAGACATTTTTGTAGACTGTAGTCTTAATCCACAAATCTCCAGCTTTCTAAAGTTCTGTCAAATTTTTATTTTGGGTGATTTTTTATTGTTTGTCCAGAATTTAAAGATAACATAGGGTCAAAGATACTTTTCAGGCAATTTCCCTTTGTGAATCACCTTGTTGAATCACGTTATTTCACTCATTCTTCCTTCCGTCCACTAGGGGCAGTGTTGGGTCGAGATGGCGGTGCTATGAAGCAGATGCTGCTGCCCTTCTGGCTCGGACTCGGAGGTACGTTGGGCTCTGGGAGGCAGCCTTTCCCCTGGATCCACGTCTCGGATCTGGCAGGAATCATCGCTCGCTCTCTGGAGCCCCCAGCGAACACCGAAGCCCCGCCCCCCTCACCGCAGGTGTACAACGGAGTCGCACCTGCGATCACTACCAACCACGAGTTCACCAAGGAGCTGGGTCGGATCCTGAGGCGGCCCACGATCTTTCCCGTTCCTGAGTTCGTCTTGAGCGCCATGTTGGGCTCAGAGAGGGCCGTGATCCTCACTCAGGGCCAGAAAGTCATTCCCCTGAAAACACTGGAGTCTGGATATCAGTTCAAGTACCCAGACTTGACTTTAGCTCTGAAACAGATTGTAGGGAGTTAATAACTAATGTTGGAACTTTATTTAATCTTTTATTCTGTAAAAACATGAATGAAAATCATTTACTGCCTTCTATACATTGGTAATAATGTTTAAGCCGCTTCATTTTAGGCAATGGGACTTTTTTCTCATTAAATAAATAAACACCAGATGTTTTCACTCTCATTAATAAAACTCCACAATTACATGACACATGCCTGATTAATAATAAATATTTATTTTCTTAATAATAAACATTACCATGTAAGTTTGACTCCTGAAAGCTAATTTTTTAATTCCCTTTTACGTATAATGTTGGGGGAGTGGAAATAAGTTTTCAACCTTCTCTTGACTGACGACTGAAAAATGAAATAATTTTGATCCCATGTGAGTTTTCTGAGACGACTAAGACAACAAAACATTTTTTTCATTTAGATAAAGCTAAATATTAATGAGTTTCCTAAATGTTCCTTCATTCAGTCCTCATTAGTTATAAACACTTTAAAATTTAATGTTTAACCCTCCTGCCTCAGTTCAATGTGATTCATACCAAGCAAATTAACAAAAATAACCTCTCAGAAGTGGCATAGCCTTCTGCTTGTCAATACAGCTGTGAAACGGTTACAACCTTAATTGTTGTTAGCAAATAAGAGTTAAATGTTTTTATTAGTACATTCACTTATCTGAAAATCTAACGCTAAGATCACATGATAGGAATTATCAGGTTCAGTTGCTGGATCAGGCAAAACAAATATATTCATCTGAAGGTTGTAAGTAAGTTAGTTTTATTTTGACATCTTTAAAAAGAAACTTTAATTGGAGGCAAATCAGACTAAAAGCAGAATAATCAATGAGTTACTGACAATGGCACCAAATAAAAATATGTAAATGTGTAATAACTATTGTGATTTACAAAACACAGAGAAGAAAGTAGATTGAAGTCCAAAGTGATGTTTTTGTTTCCAGGACTCAGGAAGTCCTAAATGTCCAGGTTTTCATCAGAATCCGAGTCGCTGTGGACCTTCGTCTCAACGATCGGAAGCTGATCTCCCCATTCGCTGTTCCGCGCGCAGCGGTACATGTCTCTGACAAAACAATTTATTTCAGATCAAAACTGCACAAGAAATATTCTTCTAGCTGATCAATTGTATTGTTAATTTCTCCAGTAAGGAAAGAAATAAATTATGAAATTTGTGGAGCATTTCTCAAATCTATAGATACTGTATTTTTAACGGTATCTATAAAAAATGAGAGGGAGATTTTTGCCCTAAGATGAAATCTAAGAATATTTTCTGCCACTTTTTGCTACATTACATCTGATTATTCCCAGGATCTTTTCCTCTCCATAAAAATCTAATAGTAAATATAAGCAAAAAATAATTACTGGAAATGGAGGAAGGCTCAGTATTACCAAATATCAAAATGTCTTCAGAACTAATAGTTTTTTATGCAAGAAATATATAAATAAAATCTGAATAAATACAGATAAAAATCTAATTTAAGAGATAATTGTTGTTAGTAACTTTATAAAACAAATGTAGAAAAATACCCTTTTTTAAAAATCTTGGTATTGTCAAATGCAATGTTTTCACTTTTTACTTTTAAGATTTTAAATTTATCTGATATTTTACATTGTATTTCTTTTAAAAGTCTTATTATGATCCTCCATCTCTATAATAACTACATTTATTAATCATTATTTAATATTTTTATCATCATTTCCTTAAATCTGGCAGTAAAAAAATACTCAACTAAATGATTATTTTTAAAATCTAGTTCCTATATTTACTGTTAAAATCATTCAATTAATACTCTTTTAAATGTTTTCTGTAAAACTTATTGACACACAAACATCACATTGATTTCCCCAAATAACATTAAAAATTAATAAAATAGTCAAAGCTTTACCCCAGTTTTTTAAAACTTCTGGTAACGATTCTCACACCAAACAGCCCAGCGGTTTTTCTTACCGGCCGTGTTTCCGTGCCGTCACCACCATGTGCTGCAGCCGTCCGTCGGAGCTGCACACGTGGCAGTGGACGTGCCGCGTTCTGCACAGAACCGGCGCGATCAGCCGGCCCCAGTCCAGACCTTCTGGTGTCGGCTCTGCCGGTTCTGTTCGACTCAGGATCAGGTAGCTGAACTTCTCTGTCTGACACTCAAGTCTCTGAATTAAAAAGAAAAACAAAAAAACACAGTGATTGGAAAAATACTCAAGCTTTGATGAACAAAAGGCTCACCTGTCAATTGTTTTTTTTTTATCTTCTATTATGACAAGATTGTGTTTGGATGGTCAGACACTTTAATATGTCAACAAAGTAATGAAACAACTTCTTATGTTATTTTAGTGAAAACTAAATACAATAATTTTTTTGGCATGCAAGTTTTTCAGAAACTTTCCTGACAAAAGCTTCACAAATTAACTCCACCAGGCCTGTCGCTTTAAGAAATGTTGCTGGTTGATAAATTGCCCAGGAAATTATTGTGATAAACGATAATATTGTTGTTTTGAGGCCATTTTCAAGAAATAGAACGGCATGATAGTGCAAGAAACACATCCTCAAAAATCCATAAATTTTACATTCTAATGAGCTGGAACTGGAAGACATTTTAAATATCCCAAATAAACAAACAAAACAACAAGAAAAAAATAGTTATGAAATCTCTGAAAACAAATTTACCCTTAAAAAAGACCAAAGAACCAAACAGATGACTTTCAGTTTTTGGTAGAAAGAGAGAAAAATAAACAGTATTTACTTTCATCATCAAAATGTATTTTTAAGCTAAAAAATAAAGCAGTTATTCCTGATTTCCTACTGGATTTACAGATGACGAGTTTTACCCCTGACAGAGGAAGAGGATGGTAGCGCTGGTGGAAGTTGCAAGGCGTGACGGGTTCCTGGCCCAGTTTGGGACACATCATTTCATGAGGGCACTGACAACAGAAGCAGAGATGATGAACAAAAAGACCCTGAAGCTGCTGGCTTTTAAAACTTATTTTAATCCTACCGGTGCAAACACTGATGCTGGTCTGGGGTCATGAACGACTTTTTCCTGTTCCTGGAGATCAATAATAATATGGATTACTACACTGGGCTAACATTACTAATCAAAATGGTTTGTGAAATATTTGAGTACCTTTAACAAAATGTCTCTGGCCTCCATCATCATCTGATGGCCCTCTTTGGTACCATTTTCCACCAGCACCTTAAACAAACATTTCAATTATTGGTTAATCATTAATATAATCAGCAAATCTACTGTTAATTACTTTTATTAAAGTACTTATTTGGAATTTAAATAAATAATAATATGAGTTATATTATTCTCATGAAAATGAATACCAAGCCTTATATTCTTATTATTTATTTTCCTCTTGAAATTCATAGAATTGATTTATTTATACATTAGAAGTGCACTAAATATTTAATTATTTACTTTTAGATAATAACTACCAAATTATTATACAATCGAGATTTTTTTATTTTATTTTGGTATTTTATATACTTTTTTATTTATGTATATATTTGTTTTTAAATATGTCATTAATGTTATTATCTTGATTATTGATACCATTTAACCTTAATAGTTATTCTCATTAAATAAATTGGCTTCTATTCACTTAGTTAATTCATTTATTTTGAGAATTTTTATTATTTTTGTTTATTATTGTTCCAATCTTCTTTATAATATCTAGTTATGTGTTATTTTATGCTTGTGTTCATTTAGTTACTAATTTATTATGATAAACTCTTAAAAATATGCATCAAAAGTATTTAATTTATTATATAAATATAATAGTAGATAAATCCCAGATGGAACAGACCAGATAGGAGTTTGTTTTCCTCCAGAGAGTCGCCACAGCGTCCGCCCGGTCGTTCACGTTGGGAAGCTCTGACAGGGTAAAAGCTGCCACCACCAAATCGAACTGGACCTGCAGAGAGAACCTGGACCTTCAGGGTTTCATTACAAAAAAACCTGCAACATTTACTTTTCTAACAGATTTCAGCAACAGATTGTTTTAGGTGTGTTTTAAGCTGGTCATTTTTAAATGTTTCAGGCTTTTAATTCTTCCAATGTTGAATAATTGTAATTTATTTGTTGCTTTTACTGCTGCCTCAGTCCCAGTAAAAGCAATTAGTTCTCAATCATCTGATTAAATAAAGGTTGAGTTGATACAAAATTAATATTTAAGAAAAACCTTCGGGTGCGGAAACTTTATATACATATATATATATTGTGTCTATAGAAATATGGGAATGCATTCAATTCTGTTATGCACTTACTATATTAAATATTTATTTAGTATTATTAACTTACAGCATAACAAGTTCAAGTCAAGATACACAGCAGTAGTATGCTTCAAAATAAATAGAAAAAAGATTATAATGCTTTAACCAGCAAGAATATTATTTTACTTGCTGGATTAGTTAAAAAGTTTACTAATTATCTACAATCATATTCAGTAAATTACAAATGAAGCTCCTCAGATTGAAAGTATCCTTAGAAAATAGCAGTTTTCAAGCAAATTGATTTCTTTAAGCACACATTTCTGTTATAAAAATTTAGTTATTTTTAATTGTCCTGATGTATTATTCTGATCTTAAATGTTGTTTTTTATTCTCTGGAAGCAGAAAGTTACCATAATTAGCAGAAATAAAGGCTTAAAATCATCCGTCTGTGAGTAATTAACCAATATAACTTGTTTAATTTAACAAACTAAATTACTGGAAAAAAGTAAATGATCAGAAATATTGCAATTTACTCATTTTGACTGTATATGTGACGTTCATGGTGAGCTCAGATACATTCTTTCTACATTATGAGCAGTTTTAGCTGTTGTCCCTCTAAGGTACAATTAGGAAAAGAATTAATAAATGTCAAAAACTAAAACACTTTTCCTCCATTTCTTCAGAAAAAGTAAATAAACAAGAAAAGATGGACAGATTTCTTAAGTAATTATTACTCATTACGAGGATTTAAGCAGAAATTTGAGCGACTGGACGGGACTGGATTTAATTAATATTTAATTTTCAGGAACTGTTGAATCTGAGATCATGTTACTTCAATAAAAATATATAGATTTGAAAGATTTTTGCACATATTTGGGGTGCCAATAAACATTAATTAAAATCTCCAGACTTTATATTTTTCTTGGACCAAAACTGACCTTAGGAGACAGGAAGAAATTGTCTGAAATAAACATGTTTGATGTGCGGCTGAGCTCTTTCATCGTCTCCTGCACAAAAAAGCAAACTAATTTAACAATTCTCACTTTAAAAAAAATATATGTTTTTTTAAAATCCATTTCTTTACCTTTGAGAAGTTGTTCGGCCAAAACGTTCATCGCTGCAGAGCTGTCCACACACACCATCTCCCTCAAAGAGTCGCCCCAACATGAGTGAGACGCCCTGATGGACAGAGAGAGACACTCGATATATTATTTAAGTTTCAGCCAAACAAATAAAAGTTTCAGTTTGCACACGAACCAGGCAACAGTTCCTAAGCCAGAACCAAAATCAAGAAGTGTTTGAGGAGCAAATGAAGGATCTCGCTTCTTTATCTGAATAAAATCAACAAAAAAAGTGAAATATTAATTAAGGGTTGATAGAAACAGTTGGAGGAGAAGTGATTTTTCCACAACTACCTCATTTAGAGCTCTCCTCACTGCAGCATAGCCTCCAGCCAGCCGAGCCACCAGGTACACCATGCTCAGCTCTTCATCGTACCTGAAACACAAGGCAGTCAGAGACACTTGTATGCTTTCAACTGAAGCTATGAGATGGCTGCTCCAATAAATGACAAATTTAAGCCTAAATCAAGCAGCATGCACGATTACTTTAGGGGCGTCCAGCGATGCGTCGTTCTTCTGAGCTCCGACAAAACCTTCTTCTTGATGCGATCCCCAGGAGTTGCTCATCGACATCTGCAAAAAGATCACAGTTAATTAATTACTCCTGGTTTTATCACAGCCTTCACAGACTTTGAACAATAATTCCCACCCCTTAAAGCTGCAGTATGTAACTTTTATAAATACTATGGAATATGTTTTTTACATATTTGCTAAAACTCTCACCATGCTGTGACTGTTTGCTATGAGAATGGGTCTCCTCCACCTCCTCCTTGAGCCACTATTGACATCTGCGAGGGAGGAGGGCGAGCAGCACCACACCTCATTGTGATTAACAGCGCTAAGACCCGCCTCCTGGCTCTGATTGGTTGTTTCTAATTAACAATGGCAGAAGGCAAAGGAGCTAATTATTTGCATTTTTGTTAAAGTTACATACAGCAGCCTTAACCTACAGAGACTGTGTCATGGTGCAGCCACGAAGGGAAATGTGTTTTATGTGGATGTTTTTGTTGTGATAATCCAACACAAAATTTTGGGTGATTTTGAAGTTGAAGTAAAATAATTTGCACACAAACATTTTGTGTGCAAATCATTTGCACACATTGAAATCTAAAGCTTTTGTTGCAGAAGGGCAGTAGTTTTAAAATCCATCAAAAACTGCTGCCTTCATGAAACCAGGACAGTAATAGTAGGGGGGGGAGGTATTTATAAACAATCATGTATTGTCCTTTTTTCAAAAGGGCTAATAATTTAGCCTTTTTGTGCTAATGCATAAGCACCTAAAATGTAAGGAACTGTATGGATTATCATCTGAAATTGCCTTCAATTCATCACCTCCTCCGATGTCCTGCACGGCTTTCTCCCACAGTTCCTTCTCCATGCTCACAGCTTTCTGCCTCAGCATCAAATCCTCCACCGCTCTCTTCCGGCTCCACAGGAAGTTTGTGAGCTTTAGAGAACGTTCTGCAAGCTGAGGCACCCGAACTCCTGTCGATGGAAACATGAAGCTAATTAGTGAGGAACGCAGTGAGTCTAATTTCTGAATAACCATTCTCCAGCTGGTGAACGTACTGTGAATAATGGACTGTGCAGCCAGCTGGAGCTGTTCGGGTAGCCGGACAGTTTTCAGGTTGGTCACACCTGGATGCTTCCTGTGAAGCTCTCCTTTCAAGAAATCAACCTTAGGCTGAGGAAGAGCTGCTGAACTCACACTCTGGAAAGGGAAACAAAATTCAACTTATGTATTAAAACATATATTTATAGAGTTTATAGATATCCAAGCTTAGCATTAAAGATTTTTCAACTGTTTCCAAACAGAATACAATTATTGTAAATATTCTTCTAAAGAGGCACATGTTTAAGGAATCCTATCATCTGGCCTCCATTGTAAAGATGCTGCGTTCAATGACAGCCACTAATTGCACGCACCCTGAACATTATGTTCGCCACCGCCGCTCGTTGACAAAGAAAACAGGCTCCGTAACTCCGTGACGCCATGTTCTCGGTGTCAGAAATAAACTTTAGCACCGTTAAATGAACAACTTTCATTCACGCTTTCGTAAAGCACACCGTACCATAGCTGCGCCTCAACAAAATAAGTCCGATCAACTACTAAAGAGGAACCCCTAAGACCAAATGTTTTGTTCCTACTCCGAAACAAATACGAAGAGGACTCACTCTTTTCTAAATTCTCAAAATGTATTGCGATTGAATGGAAACAGCGCAGTTTTACTGTTTCTTTGAAAAGTCATCTGTTTTCTTTAAAAAAAGCAAACAAAAAAATAACATTATATAACAAATAAACCAAAAAGGTCGTTTTTTACTCCCAATATAAAAAACGAAGTAGCAGGGCTGGTTGTTGTCAAGGTAAGTCGTGCGCAGTGAGTCATCTTCTGCCGAAACGAGCTTCGCTAAGAAGCTCGTCCAGGCAGAAGAACAAGTCCAGGAAGCAGTGGCGGAGTTTCGCGCTCTGTGTTGTCGCCTCTGGACCTTTATTACCATCACCTAAATTATAAAAAAAAATATTCAGTACAAAATGAGGAGAACCAGAAGTTCCAGAAATAAAAGTCAGAGCACCGTAGAAAACGAGGAAGTCCCGACAAAGACAGGTTGGTGTTTGTTTTTAGCTAGGAAGGAAGCCAACGGTTATTTGTGGATGTCCAGACAAGACTGGACAAGAAACAGTGAGACACAGTAATTATTGAGACAAAGGTCTGAACCTTCAATTTGGACACAAATAAAGTTTTTTTTAACTGCAAAGTGTCTTCTTACCACCCACTTTCACAATTAGTCTGCCTGAAACCTAATTTTACGTTTGTATTAATGCAGTTAATAACTTGCTAATTGGGAGGAAATTTCCAAATATAAAGATTTACAAAAATATTAAGCCTTTAATTATGTACTAAGCAATGTTTTGGACTTTCATCTTGTGTAAACTGCTAAATGCTTATCACCTTTTTCATGAAGTCTTGAAAGGTTTTCAATTTGATCTTGAAACATAAAAAAAGGCAACTGATTTACATTGATGACATAATTTCAGGGTGATATGTAGAATCAATCAGCCTTAGACTATAATGTGAAATATTAATTTCTATTTAAATTAATTGTGTTTGGAGTTTTGCTGAATGCCTTAATTATAAATCAGTAAATAAACTGAGATAAACTCCACCACCTATCCTGACTCTTGTTTGTGCTCAGTGTGGCAGTGGAGAGGAGATGATGGGCAGTGGGAACCCTACCCAGACGAAGCGGGCTCCATACTGGATTCAGCTTCCTCATCAGGAAAGACGTCGGTCACTCTGACTCTTGGTGCAGGAAAGAAATATGAAGTGGATCTGAAGAAAATGGTCCAGATTAATCCTACGACAAAGTACAAGAGAAAGATTCGCTCTCAGATAGTAAAAGCAGGTAAGTACCCTTTTTCTTTTACTTTAGTTTTGTTCAATAGCTGATGCTGTTGTGTAATTAGACATAAATAATTATTTTACATGAATAAATTCACTTTAAATGACTGCAGTAAATTCACTTTCACTGCAGTCTTTGTCAGAACTATTGACTTCATCTTGTGCAAACGAGCGTTTGCAGCTTTATTGTTAATATTTGTATTAAAAGTTTATAATTAAAGATGATAATTAGTTTGTTGTATGTTCAGACATGTAGAGCATAAAATAAAAATATTAGCATACGACTGTAATGTGCTTTCCAACTCCCAAATTATTCCTTTTGAATCCCTACCTGTTAAAGGTAATTCTGAAAGTAGAAAAAGAAATTTACATTATGTAAAGTGTAGGTAGGTATGTTGAATTTATATCTTTGTTTATCTTCTTGAATTTAGAGAGTTTAAATGAAGCCGGTGACGTGGCAGCTGAAAATGGAGATTCAGTTCAAGTCAAAGAGGAAGAGGAGGAGACAGCGGAGCAGCCGGCAGCGAAGAGGAGAAGAGGACAGAGCAAGGGTGCAGCAAAAACCAAAGAAATGCCTAAAGAGGAAATAAAAACTGAAGGTAAAGTATAAAAAGTCAGCTTTAACTATGAAACTAGAGCTGAAAAATGATCATCAGGAATGTGTCTGTCTTTTCTGCCCAGAGGTGGTGCGAACGGTGGTGATGAAGGGCAAAGCTCCACTGGACTCCGAGTGCAAAGCTAAACTGGGAAAGGTGCGTTTCCTGTGTACAAACCAGATGTTAAACATCTGACTGTGGTTTCACACCTGCAGGTTCAAAAATGTGCCACAGATTCTTCTGAAGTCAGAGAAACGTGTCAATAAAAATAACACGTTTAAACTCAAAATATTTGAAATTCTTTTTTCAAAAGAAAAAAGAATTATATAGGATCGTATAGGATAAATACAACTTTATCCTACACGATTAGTCACAATTCCGGTTCTGGATTGTCTCTAAATTGAAAGGGAATGATGCATATTTTCAAGTTTAGATGTAAATTTGTTATTTTTTCAAGTAATTGCTGTAATTTCTGTACTTGCTAACTGTTTTGTTTTCTGTATCAGTGCTGGGTAAGTTTTGTGTTGTTGTTGTTACTGTTTTTTTTTCCTTTTTCTCTATTCAAAATATTTAATAAATGTCCTGTTTGAGACACTCACACATCTGCCACTTCCAGAGGAGAAGTTCAAATAAAAATGCAAACATGCAAAGCAATTTTTTTTCCTAAAAACTATTTAAGAATTTGCAGATTTTTATATTTTTAAACATTCTTCATGTTTCCCTTTCAGGCTCATGTTTACAGTGAAGGAAATGATGTTTACGATGTGATGCTGAACCAGGTAAAATACTAAAAAACAATTTACTTCTGCTTCAACCCGCAGCTTTTTAAAAAATGCCCTATTTTGTTTTGTTTGTTTGTTTTTTGTTGTTGTTTTTAAGAGATGCACCAATCAATCAACCAGAAATGATAATCCATCAATTTTTCTGTAATCTTCTTTTGATTGTTTGTTTGGAAGTCAAATACTGAAAAATCAGTTTTTTTCTCCTGGTCATTAAATGCACCAAAGTAAAGGAATCTTGATAACACCATTTTTTTTCGTATTAAAAAGAAACCTATGAATGAATAAGAGTTATTTTAATGCCTTAATTTTCTGAAGGACTATGTTTTATGTATTTTACATCATAAAATAAGTTAATCATAATCAGTCTGCAGATCAGACCAAGTAAAAAATAAAAAACTACATCAAATTTGTCTGTATCTTAACACAAATCCCACATAATATTTTTCATACAGAAATAGTTCTAGACCACTATTTGAATTCTTTAAACCCTTTGATTCTCATTAAATTTTTTAAATTCATTAAAGTTTGTAGTATTACTTGCATTAATTTGTTATTTTCTGTGTTGCCTGTCAGACAAACCTGCAGTTCAACAACAATAAATATTATCTGATCCAGCTGCTGGAGGACGACGGCGCCAAGGCTTACAGCGTCTGGATGAGATGGGGCCGAGGTGAGTCGGTCTTCACCAGGACTGAAACGATTAATCAGATTAATTGTGATTAATTATTGAAATAGTTATGAGCTGATTTAGTAATTGATTAATCGTAAACAGGAGTATAGAAACTCTAAAAATGTCAATTTGCTGGAAGAACAACACAGTCAGAGCTGCAATTAAACCAAAACTGTACAAAGGACAAATACATTTTGCATTTAAGATTAAAAACATTCTTTGTCTGTAAATATGTCTTACCCAGAACTATTTGCTAAAAAGTGACATTTTTAGCTTGACCTGATTCAAAATATGCAAAAAAATCTCCTGTTAATCACCTTTTGCTGTCCATTTACTAATAAAAACAAATTATTAAAATATTTGTAGATAGTATTTCTTAGCTGCAAATGTATCCTTTTCTACAAATGAGAAAGTGTCATTAAAGGAATGCTGTTGTTTTAGGCAATTATATGTTTGTTTTATTATTAAAGTAATTACTTTATTGCTTATTTTAATCCTTTAAAGCATTTCAAATATTGCATAAAAAAGCCGTAAGTGGTTAAATTAAAAATTTGCACTCTTTTTATCTGATTAATCATCAAAATTACCAGAAAACAGCAAGAATTATTGAGTGAATAAGTAATTTAATGAATGAAATTGAGATAAGGATAGGATTAAGTAAATGTTCACGTGTTCTTGTAAAACAAAAAAGTAGAGGTAAGCTAAATATTCTGTTTTCTCATTTTTTTCTATTTTTTTCAAAAATAAATGAATGAAAATATTGGATAAAGTGATATATTACTAATCACTTGTTCCAGTTCTACTGTTGACAGCAGGGCTGACGGGATACATTTCTTCATCTCTTGTGTTTTCACAGTGGGTAAAGTGGGTCAGAACAGCCTCACACTCTGCGGGGCTGATCTGCTGAAAGCCAAAGACATCTTCAAGAAAAAGTGAGATTGTCTGATTAAAAAGTTTCCCAGAAGCTTTGGGAAACGCTGCTTTGAGTGACTCTTTGAAATGTTGCTGCAGGTTCTTGGACAAGACAAAGAACGAGTGGGATCACAGGGAAAGTTTTGAGAAAGTAGCCGGAAAATATGACCTGGTGTTCATGGACTACGCCGCTAACGAGAAGGTGCGTTTGGAGGTCAGACGTTCTACCGGTTCACACAGTCCACAGTGAGCAGGCTGCATATCAGCATCTACACCTTCACAGAGTTTTATTGAAAGAGTTTTTAAAAAAATATCTGGAAAGTCAAAAGTTTATTCTTTATCCTACTTTCTAAATGTTTTATTATTCCCGAGGTCTTTCCAGTTTTGTGTTTTCTTTAATTTCTTTTCCCTTCTTTTTATTTCCATAATCCTTTGTTCCTCACTTTTGTTCTTCCTTCTCACAAAAAAGTATTTTTGCTTCAGTTTCTAGTGGAAATATCTTAGTACACTTGAAATAAAGCAAAACTAACTTACAAGTATCTTTTCAGCAAGAAATAGGAGCTTGTTTTAAGTAAATAATTCATTAATATTAATAAATAAAATTACTACTTTCACTAGCAGATATTTTATCATAAGTGAAATAGTATGCCAGTGGAACCAGTACTTTTTCCTTCTATATTATAATTTCTTATGTCCTTTATGTCATTTCTTTCATCCTT